TGACAACATGGATGGACATTGAGGGCATTATGCAAAGTGAAGTAAGTCAGAGGGAGAAGGTCAAATACCGTATGATTTCCTTCATTAAGTAGTAGAAAATAACAACAATAAACAAACACATAGGGACAGAGATTGGATTGGTAGTTACCAGAGGGAAAGGGGGGAGGGGGGAGGACGAAAGGGATAATTCTGCACATGTGTGTGGTGATGGGTTGTAATTAGTATTTTGGTGGTGAACATGATGTAATCTATGCAGAAATAGAAGTAAAACGTTGTATACCTGAAATTTATACAAGGTTATAAACCAATGTTACTGCAATAAACAAAAAATTAAAAAAAAAAGAAGAAGCAGAGGTCAGAGTGATGCAATTGTTGGCTTTGAAGATGGAGGAAAAGGCCACTAAGAACAGGGGCAGCTTCCGGAGCTGGAAAAGGCAAGGAAGCATATTCTTCCAGGAAGAACACAGCCCTAGCAACAGTGAGCCCCATTTCAGACTTGACCTCCAGAACTGTGAGATAATAAGTTGGTGTTGTTTTAAGCCACCAAGCTTGTAGTAATTTGTTACAGCAGCAACAGGAAACTCATACAGTAATGTTTGCTGGCCACCATAAGGACTGTGACTTTTACTCTGAAAGGGGTGGTGTATTAGCTTCTGGGGCCACCATAACAAAAAAACACAGACTGGGTGGCTTAAGCAACAGAAATATATTTTCTCACAGTTTGGAGGCTGGATCCAAGACTAAGGTGCCGGCAGGGTTGGTTTCCCCTCAGGACTCTCTCCTTGGCTTGCAGATGGCCACCCACTTGCTGCCTTTTCACTTGTGCATGCACATCCCTGGGGGGGGGGGGGTCTCTGCGTGTCCTAGTCTCTCTTATAAGGACACCAGTAAGACTGGATTAGGGCTCATCCTAATGGCCTCATTTTAATTTAATCACCTCTTCAAAGGCCCAATCTCCAAATGCAGTCACATTCTGAGACACCAGAGGTTAGGGCTTCAACATACGAATTTTGGGGGGGACACAACTTAACATATGGGAAGCCATCAGAGGATTCTGAGAGAAGTGACATGACCCAACTTGCATTTCGAAGGGACTGATCTGGCTACTGCATTGACAAAGTGTCACAATTTGGTTTGTGTAATTGGAGAAATCTGAGTAGGTTGACATGGACAAAAAGAGTAAAGGAGAGTCATTCTGAATCGACCTTATCTGGAAGTAAAGTAAAACTTGTCAGTGAGAGAAACACAGTTATGCGACACAACGAGCACCCACGAAGCTCCTCTCTGACCCCTCCAGCGGTTCTGAAGTGAATGGGGAAGGTCTCTGTTTGCTCGAGGTTTGCTGAGAGCAAAAAAATACATAAGCTCAAATCCATTGTTAGCTTTTTAAAGAGACCCAGGCCACCCAGTGGTTCCCCACCCTCACCCCCACCCAAGGCTTTCCTGAATTCGGAGAAAGCAAACCAAATCACCATTGAGGAGAGTTTCAGGTTTATGAATGGGAGCATGTGGTTGATATGAGTTGAGCTGCATTTTAAATGGTTGAAAGTCCTCTTGTAAATTACATGTGGGGGGCCAGCCCCGTGGCTTAGCAGCTGAGTGTACGCGCTCCGCTACTGGCGGCCTGGGTTCGGATCCCGGGCGCACACCGACTCACCACTTCTCCGGCCATGCTGAGGCCGTGTCCCACATACAGCAACTAGAAGGATGTGCAACTATGACATACAACTGTCTACTGGGGCTTTGAGGGGAAAAAAAAAGGAGGAGGATTGGCAATAGATGTTAGCTCAGAGCCGGTCTTCTTCAGCAAAAAGAGGAGGATTAGCACGGACGTTAGCTAGAGGCTGATCGTCCTCATAAAAAAATAAATAAATAAATAAATTACATGTGGGCCCCATTGTATTATCCGTGTGTATTGTGCATTCATGCCATTTTTTTTGTGTGTGTGAGGAAGATCGGCCCTGAGCTAACATCTGCCAATTCTCCTCTTTTTGCTGAGGAAGACTGGCCCTGGGCTAACATCTGTGCCCATCTTCCTCCACTTTATATGGGACGCCGCCACAGCATGGCTTGACAAGCGTCATGCCGTTTTTTAACACAGAGAATAATTTTTTTGCCTGTTAAAGTTAAAATCAAAGGTTGATGGTCGCATCTAAGGTAGCCAAATCATTGGCCTGGTTTTCTGAGGCGATCCCTCAGTGCCTCTGTGGAGGCCCCCTCTGGGGGTGGGAGATGTGGGGTCAGGACCAGACTGGTAGTTATTAACCGAGGTGGAGCTGCTTCCACCAGGGAAACCCCACGCCCCACAGGCAGAGTTACCCACAGACTCTGGAGCAGTCCCAGCCTGGTAACCAACTCCACAACCCCTAGTGATATGGTCGTTTGGATCATGGGGAAAATGGAACTTCTAGAGCGGGTTTTGGGTGTCTATCTTCATAGCAGTCCCCTGATGGTATGAGTCCATGTGTGAGCGTATGTTGAGACAGAGAGGAGAGGGCCTAATGTCATACACCAAGGCCTAACCATTCTTGTCAGCACATCAGACGCTAGTTACTCTTGTTCCAATCTTTCAACCTTCCAGGTGAGCTCCCTTAAAGACACTCTTTTGATATTTGGGACTCGATATTATGCTCATGTTTCTATATCTGAAAACAAAAATTAATTATGATCTCGGAATAGTAACACTTTGCTTATCCCGAATTCACTTAACTGACAATTTCAAGGTCCCAGAACCCGAGTTTCTGGTGCAAATAAGAAAGGCTGTTGTGCTGACAGCATAGATGTCACTAAACAATGTGTGCCTTAAAGACTATGCGCCATGCTCATGGGACGGCCCTCTGGACCTTCTCTCCTAGCCTCTTGGCTCTTGTTGTTGGAACGGTTCTACTATTAGACCAGCGACTCGTCGCCTTCCCACGTTTTTACTACCTGCCATTTTATCGCAACCTGTAAACCGACGATCCCTGGACCATTAAACATTCCCTATTTCCAGAAATTGAATATTTTGAGGGCTGAAAGAGACCTCAGAGATCATCCCGGTAATGTCACTTTTTACAAATAAGCGATCGGATCGTGGTGCAGCTCCTAAGCTTTGAACTTCTCTTCATTCTCTGGTTGTTTCTGAGCACGCCTTTCTCTTGCAGAGTGAAAATCCACTTAGGAAAACAAGAGGAGAGCAATAAATTACCTTATGTGAGTAAAAATGGGAAGAGGGCAGTGGGGCTAACATTTATTGAGCTCCTACTGTGTGCAGGCACAGGCCTTTTACACGTCCTTCCCTCGTTGAATCTTTGCAATGGTCCTGTGAGGAGGGGCGGTAATGACTGCGTATAACATGTACTGGAGTGTTCAGGGCCTGAATCCGCTCAGTCAGACCCTGAGAGGGCATTTAGTCTCCACTCTCTCTGCCTTGTGTGGGTAAGGAGAGGGGGCCAGTGTGCAGCTCGTGCCCAGATGCAGGAAACCATCTGCCGCGCTTGGAAAACCACAAACGCTAGGGGAGGGACCATCAGGGCACCAGGGGGAGCAGGGACGGGAGCTGCTGGAGAGATGGGGACACACCCAGAAGGACCTCACATCTGCCCAGGAGTTTGGGCCTAATCCTTCTGGTATCTGGGGGCGTTGGTGGGTCTGACACGGGCACAGGATCAGGTGAGACTTACATTCTAGGAAAAACGCCCTCTAGTGGGATATTGTTGGTGCTTTTTACTACTTTCTGCTTTTATCTGTTTTCCTTTTTTTCTCCTTAAACAAGGATCATGCAGTCCCTTTTTTTTTTTTTTTTTGGTGAGGAAGATCAGCCCTGAGCTAACATCCATGCTAATCCTCCTCTTTTTGCTGAGGAAGACCAGCTCTGAGCTAACATCTATTGCCAATCCTCCTCCTTTTTTTCCCCAAAGCCCCAGTAGGTAGTTGTATGTCATAGTTCCACATCCTTCTAGTTGCTGTATGTGGGACGCGGCCTCAGCATGACAGGAGATGCGGTGCGTCAGTGCGTGCCCAGTGTCCGAACCCGGCCACCAGTAGCGGAGCGCGTGCACTTAACTGCTAAGCCACGGGCCAGCCCATATGCAGTCCCTTAATAGTCAGGAAAAAAAATAGACAAACAAAAATGTAACAGCCCTCCCAGTGGAAAGGATGATGAACCTTAGCAGAGCCAGACTGAGGGCAGGAAGGCTGGGAAGGGATGGCCAGAGCCGAAGAGAGAGAGGACAGGGGCCTCGGGCTGTCGGGCGGGGGGCATGGAGAGGAGAGGATGAGGCTGAAGTACATTTGGGAGACCACGGGGACAGGACTCGTGGTGCCACAGGCGTGTCCCACACAACTCTGGATGGTACAATTTATCCCGTCTATGCCGCTGGTAGCCCTGCCGGATTTCTGACTTGTAGGGGCGGAAGAGGAACTGACTAAAATGGGTTCATTGTCTTGTTTTTGCAACCGTGCTAGGCATCTTCTCATATGTTATTTTGTTTTTTCCTCACAAAAGTCCTTTGAGGAAGAGTTATTATCCTCATTTTCTGATAAGGAAACTGAGGCACAGAAATGTTGAATAACTGTGGTTGGTGACACAGCCAAGATTTAAACTCAGGCCTGTCTAATTCCAAAACTTGAGTGACTTCCGTAATGCCCGCACCTCCTGGCCTCCGGCCATGATGGAGGACGCAGAGGAGGAGCAGGGTTCCGAGGCAGAGTGTGGAGGGGCATCACCGGTTAGGCTTTGCTTGTGTTGAGCTTGAGAGGCCTATGGGGACATGCAGGAGCCAGTTGAGTCTTGCGATTGGATCTCAGGAGAGGAGTCTGGGCCCAAGGTAGGAGTGGGGGTGGGACCTGGGGAGGGCACAGGAGAGCCCTGGGCCTGGAACCCCATCTCACGTCTCTGTTTTTAGATGTGAGTGGGACACCAGTGGAGGATTGGGAGGAATGTCAGCACACCATGTCTGCAGTATTATCTCACCTTCCACCTTGATACCCAGGAAGTGATCAACGTGTCACCTGGCTATCGCCTCATTCGGAATAGGGAGCAGATTTCTGTCACCTTGGGAGATGAGATGTTTAATAGGAAAAAGCAGTCAGAATCTGAGATCACGGACAAAGGCAAAATTTCCAGGTAATGTCTTTGGACCCACGTCCAGCTCCTCGGAGCTCTCTTTACCTGGCTTGGCCTGGCCTCAAGGACAAGCCCCGAAATTCTGTGCACAGTCCCTGCTCTGAGGGTGCTGCGAGGTCACTTCACTCCTCAGCCCTGCGTCTGCTCCTCCCTACACCCACCTCTCTGCTCTGATCCCATTAGAGTCAGGATGAAGATCAAGTCAGGCAGCTGATCTGGAAAATGGATGGGTATAGTGTAATTCGTACTAAAGGAGAGCAATTGCTCCTGGAGGTAATAAACAGATGAAATATTCATAAAACTGTCTGAATTTGGAGGGTGAGAATTGAGAGTAAGTCAGTGTTTCTGGGAGGCCTGAGTATGCATCTCTGTTTCATTACGTCCAAAGATCCCACTCAGTTCATGCCTCTGGGAGATGCAGCGTGGAAGATTCTGGCCTGACTCCATCTCGGTGGAGCACACTGCTGTCCTCTCTGTCATTCAAGTCCCACCCACCCTCTATTGTCCATGTCATGTAGAGTCAGTCCCCACATCCTCTTCACTCCATCTCCTAAATCTCTCATTCGTACCTTCTACTTCCCCATCTGTTACTTCCTACCTGCACTATTGCAATGGCTCCCCATGAGTGTCTCCTCCTTGGACTTTAGCTTGCTGTAAAAATTATTTTTCCAAAACAGAAATCTAAAAGACCAAAAACAACAACAGAAAACACACACACACACATGCACACACACACAATTACCTACCTACTTATAAGTGTGTGGAAAGGATACAACCAAACCGCTAGCAGTGGTTTCATTTGGTGCAAGGCTGAAGGGTGCAGGCTGAGGGAGGCTGTCTCGTGGAGTCCCCCTGATCTGACCTGGCCCAGAGAAATCAGGCTCGAGACCCTGTCTTCCCCTCCTGTGGGAACCGTCAGCCTGTTTCCTTTGCCCTGCTCTCCACAGCCCTCTGCAGGAGAAGAATGGGCTGTGCACCACAGTCAAGCCAGCACCCACAGCCACCTCTTGGGCTCATAAGGAAATTGTCATCAGTTGTGGCATAATAAGACATGATAGCCATGCTTGCGTCATTCCCTAGTAAAGCTGTGAGTACTGCTGATACGGAAGATCACGTTCAAAAGACGGGAGTTCTCATTGGTCAACTCCCTGCTTACACCTTCGTGCCCTCTCCTCCTGTCTCCTCTCTTGTTTTCTCAGCCTCTTCTCTGCTCCACTGCACACAGCACTGCCTGCCACCCTGTCTACTCTGGCCCGACCAAATAGAGCTGAATCATCTTACAGACATCGGGGAGGCCCCAGGCCTAGAAGCACAGAAAACCAGTATCTATTCTGAAAGCACTGTGAAATCCCCTCTTCATCCTTTTCTGGCCCATTCCTTGTCCGTGGGTCACTGTCAGCATCAATCCTATTCCCCCACCGTCTCATTTCCTAATCCTCTGAACTTCTCCCTCCTCCATTTCTACTATTATTACCAAATCAAGGTCAAACCCTAATAGATTTCTGACATATTCTTCTTTCCCTTCTATTCAGTAGGGCACCAAACCACCCCTGCTCACTTCAGGCTAGCTTACCCAAAAGGGCCATGTCTGAGGCTCAACCGCCCTACTGCCAAATTCCTTCTCCCTGAGAACCCCTCTACCCCTCCACTCCCACCCCCTTGACGGGGGAGCAGGTGCAGAATATGGCCCGGCTCTCACCAGGCCAGCGCCAGTCTTGCTCAAGGAGGGTCCCGACTGGCAGGGAATGGAAGCTCTGTGGATGACAGGAGAATGACTTATCCTGCAGGACTGATATCATCACTGACCTAGGAGAGCAGATCTCAGAGCTGACAGTGATAATAGAGCAAATGAACAGAGACCACCAGTCTGCCCAAAAATTGGTGAGTGATCCTTGAGTGAGCCGACATCTCTATGGCTAGGGAAAGACCGGTATTTTCAGATCACCTGCTATGTGCCAGGCAAGAAGCCAGGCACTTTCCTCGTGGGGACATGTTGTCCAGGCCACAGCTCTGAAGACGGGACCGCGGTCACCCGTAGTATTTCTCTGCATCCATCCTCGTCTGTAATTCCAGGAACTCAAGCCCCTCCTCAAGGCCTAACTCAATTTCCACTTCTCCGGGGGCCTCCGGTGTGTTCAGTGCCCTGTCCTCTCCACACTAGGGGGTGCCGGCCATTGCCTGTCAGGCCTGCTGTGGCTTTGGGGTAAGCTGAGCTCCAGAGGGACCAGCGCCGTCTGGGCTTTCAGGGCTGCTCAAAAGTTGCCCCAGAAGCCTCCAATGCCTACTTCCTGTTGCTGTTGAAACCCAAAGCCCACACTTCAGATATTATTGTTATTATTCAGTGCTGATATTAATTTGCACTCTTCGTGTTTCCTGGGGGTTTTGGTGACACCTCCTTTAGATTTTACCATCTGTTTGATCACAGTCTCTTCTTCCCCACCCTGAGCAAGTGGGCCTGGTGGCCTGGGCTGGAGTGAGAAACCAGAGCAATGCTGACAAACAACCCCCACCCCCACCCCGCCTGTTGTTATTGAAACCCACTTGTGAAGGCTGACTTCCCGGCAGGCCAGCCCTCGCCCTCTGATGTGCCCCAGATGCGTCTGAGTTCCACAGTGACAGCCTGTGACTCAGGCTGAGACCGCCTCTACTGTTGATTTATTACTGTATTTATCTGAAAACGCTGCCAGGTTTACGGTTTCCTTCTACAGAAAGGAAATTGAGGCTCAGGAAGTTAACTAATTTGCTTGAGATCACTTACCTCATCGGTGGTGGGTTACTGGGCAAAATGCACATTTTTCACTCCCTGAAGCATCTGCCCCACTGAAGACATACTCAGAGATTGTTTCCACTGAGGGACCTCAGATTGAGGTCCTTCAAATTCTCCCACCTGTGAACACCCGAAATTGTTGGGTGACCCTGTGGAAGGGAGGGGTGCTGGTGCCCCTGTGTAGTCAGAGGGACAAGGCCAGGCCCTGGCCCCTTATCTCAGCTGGCAGTGGGCGCTGACTAGTTTGGAAGTGTCCGTTCCTCTTGAGGCACCGGCCAGAAGGTCTGATGTGTTAGGATGAGGGTCACCTGGAAGTGAGCAAATCCTGAGCGCTTGAAACACAGGCTCTCTGCCGACGAGGACTTGGTAGCACTGGATTGTGAATGCACTGAGGCAGGCTCTGAGTCTTAGGCCTCTTTGACTTTTCCAGGCCAAGCCCTTTGCTCAGTAAATGATTGTTCAATTGAGTTACGGATCTGAGAATCCGAAGGCCATGGTCCAGCAAAGGAGATGAGACCTGCCCACAAAACGAGCTAGTGACAGAGGTGGTGTCCGTGCACCAACATTGCGAATGGATTACATGCCAAACAGCATGGAGCAAAGCAAGAATGGCTCCATTCCCTCAGTAGTGAGGTGCTCTCTGGCACTGCAGAGCACAAACGGGAGAGGCGTGGGGTGTGGGGCATGCCCCGTGAATGAGTGAGTGGGAAGGCTTCTCGGATGTTGCAGACTGGGACGGGGTGGGGTCCCCAGTCCTGGGTTGTTAATGCTGGCCTCTTTCCAGCTCTCCCGTGAAATGGATGTCCGCTGCGCTGAGATGCAGCAGAGCTTTGAAGACAAGACCAGGTATGCTTTCTGGCACAAGCCCTTCTGTGCTCACGGCCCTAAGGCTCCTGCATCCTTGAGGGATTTCAGCTCAGACGGTGCCAAATGGAGCTGGGGGGTGAGGGGTGGGGGAGGTGAGACACAGGTCTTTGGAGAACAGGAGGGTTTGACTTGAGGCCACTAAAAGGTAGCACAGAGAAGGTTATTCCTGGGTTTGCACTTTCTCATCCAATTATTTCATTTCAGTTATAATCTCCCTTTTTGTTGACCTCTGAGAAGAGCTATTCTTTGTTCTCTGTGAGATTTCTGTGGTAGACAGCTGTTGTTCTCAACCCAGCCTCCTCCTCCTCTTCCTTCTGCTCCTCCTCCTGCTCCGCCTCCTCCTCTTTCTCCCCCTCCTCCTCTCCCTCCTCCTGCTTCTCCCCCTCCGCCTCTTCTTTCTCCCCCTTCTCCTCTTCCTCATTCCCCTGCTTCTCCTCCTCCTCCTCGTTTTCCCCCTCCTCCTCCTCCCCCTCCTCC